GTGTGTGTGTGTGTGTGTGTGTGTGTGTGTGTGCCTTCTGCAGGTAGAGGTAAGATATATTCAGAGAAAACCAAAAATAGAACAAAAATAAAGACTTAGCTGGCAGAGAGTTGAATTATTCCAAATAAATACTCTTGGAAGGTTATCACCTGTATTAGTATAGTAGAAGTTGCTCACACTTCTACTTTATTCTGCCTTCTTGCAAAAAGACTACAAAGGAAAATCAATGAGAATAGTAGTAATAATCATTAGTGTTTATTTAACACTTTAAATTTCGCTAAGCACTTTATAAATATTATCTCATTTGTTCCCCATAAGAACCCCATGAGGTAGGTGCTATCATTACCTCCATGTTACAGAAGAGGAAACTGAGGCAGACAGGGGTTAAGGGACTTGTCCAAGGTCAGCCAGTTAGTATCTCTGGCCAGATTTGAATTCAAGTCTTCATGACACCGGGTCCAGCGCTCTGTCGACCGCACCACCAAGCTGCTGTCATAGGTTCATAGATTTGGAGCTGCAAGTGACCTGAGAGGTCATGAACTTCCACCTTCTCATTTTACAGATGAGGAATGAGGGGCTCATGGAGTCTAAGTTCCTGCACAAAGCCACACTAGTGACCCCAATGTAGGGTCCATACTCAGGCTTACAACCTGGGTGTCACCCTCAGCCCCCAACTCCTCACTCTTCAATCAGCAATCAAGTCTTTGCATTTCTACCTCACACCTTTCCTATGTGTCCCCTTCTCTCTTCTGACAATGCTGCCACCCTGGTCCCCGCCCTCATCACCTCATGCCCAGGCGATTGCTAAAGCCTTCTGATGGATCTCCCTGCCACAAGTCTGTCCCTGATCCAGTCCATGGTCCTCTCAGCTGTTCAATTGAGCCTCTTCTATCTAAGGTCTCTTCATGTCAGTTCTCCATTCAATAAATTCCAGTGGTTTTCTATTCCAGAACCAAATATGAAATCCTATTAGGTTTTCTAAACTCTTCCTAACCTGGCTGCCTCCTGCCTTTCCCATCTTTCTGCACTACTTTAACACACCAAAAATCTATCTCCTGACTCCAAGCATTTCTACCAGTTTTGCCCCATGCCTGGAACTCTCTCCTTCCTCCTGCTCATCTCCTGGCATCCCAGGCTTCCTTCAGGTCCCACCTAAAATCTCATCTCCATTCAGCAAGAACTTTGCCCCCATCCCCCTTAATCCTAGAACTGACCTTTTGCTGATTAACTCCAATTAATCCTGCCTACATATCGTTTGTACGTGGCTGGGTGCCTGTTGCTGTCTCCCACTGACTGCGTCCTTGAGAGCAGAGGTTGATTTTCCCTTTCTTTGTATCTGCACCACTTAGCACAGTGCCTGGCATACAGAAGGTGCTTAAAAATGCTTGGTGACTTACCCTCAATAACAGTGAATGAATGAGAACATGGATGGAAGGTCGGTGGTTGTTCAGTCATTTCAGTCGTGTCCGACTTTTTTGTGACCCCATTGAGGGTATTCTTGGCAGAGATACTAGAGTGGTTTGCCATTTCCTTCTCCAAATCATTTTACAGGTGAAGAAACTGAGGCAAACAGGGTGAAGTGACTTGCCCAGGGTCACACAGCTGGTTTCTTCCTGACTTCAGGCCTGGGCTCTATGCACTGTGCCACCTAGCTGCCCTAAGAAGAGTGTAAGGCTTGGATGAAAATATGCCAGCATCTGTCATTGTTAGTAAAACCAGAGCTTTTGCTTCTCCAATGTAAATATGAGGGAGAGAGTGAAGAATTTTGGATGGATTTGGAATGTCTAGTCATCCCACTTGTTTATCTGCCTCACACATTCCCAAATCCCCTGACTATCAGGATTACTCTTAGCTCTCTGCCCTGCCTTTGTTGGGACAATGTGATGTGTGAAAGAGGTGGGGCCTGGGACAGGTGAGGGGTTTGGGAGGAAGCCAGCTGAGCTCAGTCCTGACAAGACAGCAGTCACTGCTCTGACCTAAGGTTAAGTAGCTGTGCCCCTGCGCTAAGGCAGCCAAACTTTCCCTGGAGGGTTTTGTCCAGAGCTGGAGCACTGTGAGAGGCCAGCTGGAACGGTGCTGACAGTAATACAGTCCAGCATCTTCAGCCCCCACACTGCTGATTGTGATACTGTAGTCTGTCCCAGACCCACTGCCACTGAACCAGGCAGGGAACCCAGAGTACAGAATGGCAGCAGCACAGATCAGGAGCTTGGGAGACTGTCCTGGTGTCTGCTAACATCACGCTAAATTATTGCTAGTACCCTGACTGGCTCTGCAAGACGTAGTGACGTTCTCTCCTGGAGAAGCTGACAGGGAAACTGGAGTCTGAGTCATTGCAATCTGCCCTGTGGTATCTGTAAAGGAAAGGAAAAGCCAGAAGTTACCGAGAGTTAACCAGCTTTCACTCTACTGTGTCTAATTATTGATAAGAGAAATCTTTCAGGAAAATTGACGGTGGTCTCTTCCTCACCAATGACTTCCTGCTGACAAGGGGCATAGAGCTGTCCCCAAGGAAAAGGGGAAACAGATGAGTGAGGGAATTGCTGTCCGAACTTGTAGGCAGTGGAGTCCAAGGTGGAAAGCTCTATACCAGGCACCCAGGAGCTGAAGATGGAGTTTCTGTATAGGAGAAGACACAAAGTCCACTAATCAATTACACCAAGGTAAGCTCTCATAAATGCAGGTGCGTTGTGAACCTACAGAACATTATTGCAAATGGCAGAAGTGAAGTTCAAAGCACAGCCATAGCTGGCAATTTTAGGATCACTTGGTACACACGTCAAATGTCCACGGGGGATAGGGATACCCCGTCTGATCCTACGGACCTGTTGAGTTGGTCCTCATCTTTTTATGGGCTATCTAGTCAATTCCAGTGGAGGAGTGATCACTCCTAGCCCAAAAGCAAGATTTCTCAGTAGTCATATTTGAAAGTTGACATACCCAGCAGTCACCCACTCTACCCTGCCCAACAGAGTTCCCTATTTGAATCAATGCATTAGACTCCCAGTTGTAGGAAAGCAGGCCTGGTTCTAGACACGAGGTGGGAATCAATGATAGGAAAAGGAAGAATAACATGATAATGTCTCCCAAAAGCAGAGGAATAGAAAGCAAAATGGAAAAACGAAGCAACTGAAAATAAGCACTCAACCATCAGCAGATTATGATGGTCCTTTGTCTCTTTTGAAGAGAAGTTTCAGGTCCTCGATCAGTTCACAGATGTACTGCTCAGGCTGCCCTGTGATAGGAGAAGAGACAGGTTTTATTCAGGACCCATGACCAGCTAGGGACTTCAAGCCAAACAAATGTAGGGGTTGTTACAATGACCCTGTATGGCCCCTTCCACTTTACCCCCAAAAGTCACGGTACCCTGTGGCTTCCAAGATTTTAAATAAAACCATATCTCCTGAGCTAACTGATAGAGAGGAAAGGAAAACTGTTTTATCTGGCTGTGGGGAGGTGTAAATTGCCATAGGCAGATAATCCTTTTCATACTTGCCTCAAGGTGAGGGAATACTTAGTCAGAAGTTGGTCTTCCCAGGCTATGAGAACATCAGCAGTTAAGAAGGGCTTGCCACACCTGAGTTCAAAGGGGCCAAGTCTGATATCTGTTCGAGGGGTCATGTGGACATGAAATAGGGCCACAGGGAGAAGTCACGCCCGGTCCTGCCAGACTTCTAAGGTCATTTTAGTCAAGGTGCTTTTTAGGGGATAGTTCATTTTTTCAACCTTGCCCAAGGACTGAGGGTGCCGGGCAGAATGAAGATGGTAGGTTATGTCTAACGCCTCGGCAACTCCCTGAGTGAGCTGGGAAGTGAATGCTGGTCCATTATCACTTTGTAAGGAGCGAGGGAGCCCAAATCTGGGAATGATCTCGTTCAAAAGTACCTTAGTCACTTCCACGGTGTTTTCAGTGAGGCAAGGAAAGCTTCTACCCAGTTTGTAAAGGTGTGAATTAGCACTAAGAGAAGCTTAGAGCTTCTGCAGGGTGGCGTATGCATCAAATCTTGTTGCCAGTCTTTGTCTGGGAAGGTCCCTCGATTTTGGAGAGGGGTAAGGAGAGATGGGCATCTTACTGCTCCTTCAGGTTGGCTTGGGCACATATAGAGCAAGCCCTGCAAAGCTGCCTAATTGTTTCTTGCATTTTAGGTCCAGTAAAGAGGGGTTTCACCAGATTGTAAAGTGCATGCTTTCTTAGATGTGGAACCTGGTGGAGTTCAAAAAGGAGCTTCCACATTCTGGATCCTGGGATTGCTAATTGACCAGAGGGTGACTTATACCAATCAGAAGGGGAAAGTTCAAATCCCTTAGCCTGCTGTTGTTGTCATTCCTCGATGGTGTATTGAGGAAGGAAAGTGGGGGTGCCCTGAGGTATCGAGGTGTCATCCAGGCTGATTCCTGAGTGGCAGTGGCCTTGTCTGCCACTCAGTTTCCTACTGCCTGTTCCGATTCCCCTTTCTGGTGGTCTTTACAATGTACGCCTGCCACCTCCTTAGGAGAGCGTAGTACCTGCAGAAGGTACAGAATTTCAGTCCCATGTTTAACAGAGGAGTTCTTTGTGGTCAAGAATCCCCACACCTTCCCAATAGCACCATGGGCATGTAAACATGGAGGGCATATTTGGAGTCTGTAAAGATGTTTACCCTTTTGTTTTCCCCTAATTCCAAGGCTCTGGTGAGCGCCATGGGCTCAGCCTTTTGTGCAGAAGTTTCTGAAGGAAAGGACTTAGAGTCTATAGTGCCCTGTAGGCTGAGTATTGCATAACCAGTTCTCTTCACCTCTCCTGTCAGTATACCATTCCTCATCAGGATTAACAAGCAGGGAGTTCTTTAGTGTCAATGAGACAATCAATAATCTTACCCACAACATTGACCTTCATTCTAGGCTCAGCCCTAAGAGATGTTGAAGGAGGGAGCCTGGCTTTCTTCAGGGTGGGTCATTTCAACTCTTGAGGATCCCGAAGTGGTGGAGGGGTGAAGGGATTGAAGCTCGACCTTTGATGCTGCTTCCAGTGGCCTTGCTGGTGGCAAAGGAGACAGGGTCTAGGTGTCTGCCACTTGGAATTACCCTTCATAGGGCATTCTCTTGATCAGCGGCTGGCTTGGTTTTTTTGTTCTTTTTTTTAACCCCCTGACCCTCCCCCCCCCGCCTTTGGGAAATTACTGCGGCAAGGAGCTGAGCTTGGTTCTTGATTCCTGATCGGCGCCCGGCAATCCTTCTCATCTGCCTGTACCTTGTCGCTATTATTATTAAATACCTTAAAAATGGTCCCCACGGTCTCTTTCTAGAGAGTCTGAGGGCCCTGTTCCCATTTCTGAACCTTTTGACAGACGGCTGGAGCCGACTGAGAAATAAAACGCGTGCTCAAGAAGAAATAAAATGCATGCTTAAGACCATGGCTCCTATTGGGGATTCAGGATCCAAGTCATAGGTATGCTTTCTTAGCACCTCTCTCAACCTGTTCCTAAAAAGAACAAGGTTCTCATCTGGCTTTATGTAATCTCTCCTAATTTGGGCTAGGTCAGACATTGAAAAAGGAACATGAACTTGGGTGCTGCCCCCTCTGAAAACAGATGTTCTCCCTCTTAGAGGGAGTATTGGAAGAGACTGAGATGGACTTGGCGCTAGGGGTGCTAAAAAGGAGGTCCTCGCCTGACATTTAAAGGACTTAGCATTGGGTGGTTAGGAGACTATGAGGGAAGCTTAGGGCCTCGGAGAAGACTCTTTAGGGGCTGGGGAAGGGGGGCAAGCTGGGATAAAGCTTTGGAATAGGAGGGACAGGAGGTTTTAAAGGGAGGAGGTAGAGATCTAGATTTAATCCCGTACATGACTGGATCATCTAGAAGGTCAGGTTCCGGGTCTGGCGCCTTCTCAGATTTGGGGAGGTCAGGACTGAATTGAGGACATGTGAAGAGCATTTTGCAGGATTTTCCCTTCCTCTGGCAAAAAAAAAAAAGATCTAACTGCAGAACAGTACTGTCCTCTAGGTTGTATTGTGGCCAGGCCGTAAAAGATGAGATGCTCTCTCTTAAGGTCCTCCCTCCCAAATTTCTCCCAATGGTTTAAGAGGCAACTGAGTGGAGCCTGTCCTGTGTCCAAGATCCCGCAGCCACTGGCTGCCTCTTCAGCATCCTGAAGAGGGGGAGAATAAGAATAGAAGGCCAAATGAGAGGCGTCACCCTTGAGACTCCGAGAACCATCTTACCTGACAGCATAGAAGTCAGAGAGACCCACAATGCTGCTCCTGGTAATCTCGGTACCCAGAGGAGTCCAGCCACAGGACACAGACACTTAGCTGTGTGACTTAAACCTGTTTGCCTCCGTTTCCTCACCTGTGAAATGAGCTGGAGAGGGAAACAGCAAACTACTCCAGGATCTTTGCCAAGAAAACCCCCAATGGGGTCACAGAGAGTCGGACATGATTGGAATGACTCAAAAACTACGAGTTAGATATTAAGTTGCATTGAGAGATGGTGGATTTCCTCCCAGTGGAGATCTTCAAGCAGAGACTGAACTACCACTTGCCAGGATCCGCAGGCCAAGAACACTCCCCTCTTTTCATTTTCAGGAGACCCCTTGTTTTCCAGGGCTAAGGCTCAGCATGAAAGCTGGCCCTGAGCTTGGCATAACAATGGTCCTTTGTGCTCACCCTCTGGATGAACTCCTTTGCAGCTAAATCCCACAACTGGAGGTCCCTGAGCTGGGGCAACCACCAGTAAGAACCACACCCCAGTCATGAAGCCCTGCTATGTATGGACTTGTAGTCACTGGGCAAATAAACACTGACTGCTGCTGTTACCACTCACTGCTTGATTCTTTGTCTAGCCACAGGTATATAGATTAAGGCTTAGCCTCTCTGCCTTGGGTCTCCTCAGTCCTAGATCAGTCCCAGGCACACATATTTAGTGTCTTTCCTGCAATGGAATGAAGAAGGCTTTTTGCCGATAACCTCTTGTTTAAAGTTGCATGAACATGACCTTTATATATACAAATTTTAGTTGGAAAGATAGTGTTCAGTTGGCGGGAGTGAGCAAAGGAGGTGTGGTGGGAATGCTTTTGCCCTTTGCAGCCAAACAGGAAAAGTCTAATCCCTTTTCCATATGACAGACCTTTATTTTCTTTTGTTTTTTAAATTTAAGAAGTTCTTTATTTTTTTCTTTTTTTAAAGCTTTTGAGTTTTAAATTTTCTCCCCTTCCCACCCCCCTCCCTCCCCAAGACGACATGAAATCTGATATAAGGTCTACATATACATTCCTATTAAACATATTTTCACATCAGTCATGTTATAAAGAAGAATTAGAACCCATAAGAGGAACCACAATAAAGAAGAAAGAAGACAAAAGAGAAGAAAAAAAAAGAGCAAATAGTATGCTTCCATCTGCATTCAAGCTCCATAGTTCTTTTTCTGGATGTGGACAGCATTTTCCATCATGAGGCCTTTGGAGATGTCTTAGAGCCTTGCATTGCTGAGAAAAGCTAAGTCTATCAAAGTCAGTCATTACACAACATGGCTGTTACTGTGTACAACATTCTCCTGGTTCTGCTCACTTCACTCAGCATCAGTCCATACAAGTCTTTCCAGGTTTTTCTGAAGTCTGCCTGCTCATCATTCTTACAGCACAATAGTATTCAATGACATTCATATACCACAACTTGCTCAGCCATTCCCCAATTGATGGGCATCCTCTCAGTTTCAAATTCTTTGCCACTGCAAAAAGAGCTACTATAAATATTTTTGTACATGTAGGTCCCTTTCCCCCTTTTATGATCTCTTTGGGATACTGCTCTAGAAGTGCTATTGCTGGGTCAAAGGGTATGCACATTTTTATAGCCCTTTGGGCATAGTTCCAAATGGCACTCCAAAATGGTCGGATCAGTTCACAACTCCACCAACAATGCATTAGTGTTCCAATTTTTCCCATATCTTCTCCAACATTTATCATTTTCCTGTTTTGTCATGTTGGCCAATCTGATAGGTGTAATGTGGTAGCTCAGAGTTGTTTTTATTTGCATTTCTCTAATCAGTAATGATTTAGAGCATTTTTTCATATGACTATAGATAGTTTTAATTTCTTTATCTGATGACCTTCGTATTCTTGAAGGCAGCTATCATGTTTCCTCTCAGTCTTCTCTTCAAGCTAATTATCCCACTTCCCTCAACTGATATTATGTCATACAGTCAAAGCCCTCCACCATCCTAGCTGCCTTTCTCTAGGCACTCTGCAGCTTATCAATGTCTTCTTACGCCCGATACCTGACAGTAGTTCAGGTGTGCTCTGACTAGGGCACTGGGACTACCTCCTTATTCTGGGAAGCTATGACCCTCTTAATGCAGCTCAAGGTCACATTCATTTTTTTGGCTACTACATCCCACTCCTGAGTCTTTTTGAACTTGCAGCCTAGTGTGTCCCCTTTGAGAACAAAGGACAAACATCAGCGACAATGTGAATGCCAGATTTTCCCCTTTTGAATGTCATCTTGTTGGATTCAGCCCATTGCTGTAGCCTGACAAGAACTGTGTGGATCCTGACTCTGTCAGCCAGTGTTACCTATTCTTAGCCTTGTGTCATCTGCAGAATTGATGAGCATGCTATCTATGTCTTTATCCAAGTCATTAATCGTAACAGCCCAGAGCTGAGCACAGGGCCTCTGGTACCGCACTGGGCAATATCCTGCCACATTGACGTGAAACCATTAACAACTTCTCTTTGGATTCAGACCATTCAGCCAGTTCTGAATCCATTTGATTGTTATTAATCTATATTTTCCCCTCTTCTCCACGAGGAGAGTAGGAGATACTGTGACAAAAACTTCACTGAAAACATAAACTATATCCTCAGCATTTTTTTACCTGTTTGCTTAGCTATCTTGTCAAATAAAAAAAGGAGGGGGGGGGCAGCTAGGTGGTGCAGTGGATAGAGCTCCGGCCCTGGAGTCAGGAGGACCTGAGTTCAAATCTGGTCTCAGACCAGACACTTGACACTTCCTAGTCACTTAACCCCATTGCCTAGAGAAAAACAGAAAAAGAAAAAAACAAACAAAGAAAAAGGAAATGAAGTTAATCCAGCATGATCTGTTCTTGTTGAAGCCATGCTGACTCTGTGTACATTCCTTCCCTTTTTGCATGACTGCTACCCGCCTCTTTAATGATCCATTCTAGAATTTTCTCAAGAATCAAAATGGAGCTGACTGGCAATAAATAGTTTGCAGACTCTGCTCTCTTATCGTTCAGGAAATGCCAGAAAGCATTTGCCTCTCTTCAATATTGTACTTCTCTCATTTTCCGTGATCTTGCAAATATCTCTGACAGTAATTAGCAATCACATCTGTAGTTCACCCCAGCCAAATGACTTGAATTAAATCAAGGGCGGCTGGATGCCTCCTTATTGTCTGTTTACTTATCTTGGGCATCCACTCTGAAGCATTTCTGTTCTGAAATTTCAAGTACAGATGTCACTCTTCTTTAGAGAGAAAACAAAATAAAAATAAAAATTGAGGTCTTCACTGTCAGTTATCACCCCTTCTCTACTTTGAGCTTTCTTTTTTCCCAACATGACTTCACAATAACAACAAAACCATCTTTTTTGTCATCCTCAGTCTTCATTACCAGACTCAGCTTATTCTGAGTTTTAACGTTCATGATACAATTTTTCTAAGACCATACAATACTCATATATTGATTCTTTCTCCTCTGGTCTTGCTTCTGTTGTGTACATTTCTTTTTTTCAGTCAAACCTGGTTGGTGAGTTTGCCACGGTTACATGTCTGTCCAGACAAAATATTATTGTCCCACTCGATTGGAATTTTTTCTTTCTCTCTTCATCACTGAGTTTCTTCTATCCCTTTTGGCTGACTTCCCCCGAATGTATTTTATTCTATAGGATCATACCTCTGAACCTTTCCTCTGAACCATTTCAAATTTGCTTTCTCAAAATCTAGATTACAGGGGCAGAGAGGTGGCGCAGTGGACAGAGCACCGACCCTGAAGTCAGGAGAACCTGAGTTCAAATCCAGCCTCAGATCAAACACTTGACACTTACTAGCTGTGTAACCCTGGGCAAGTTGCTTAACCCCAATTGCCTAAAAAAAATAAAAAATCTGGAGTATAGTCAGATTATTTTTTTTTGGACTTTGAGTTTAAAGTAAAAGATTTTATAACATCAAGGTATATGTGCTCCTATCCTGTTATTGGATATTAAAATATATTTTCAATTAACCAAGA